TGGTGGAGGTGGATGAGTCGGGAACCAGAGCAGCGGCAGCCACGGGGACAATCTTCACGTTCAGGTCGGCCCGCCTGAGCTCTCAGAGGATAGTGTTCAACAGGCCTTTTCTGATGTTCATTGTGGATAATGATATCCTCTTCCTTGGCAAAGTGAACCGCCCCTGAGGTGGGGCTTCTTAACTCTACACACCTCAGGGTGGGAGATAAAGGTGGCTATGCTATGGCCCACCTGTATGCTGGTAGCTAGTGATTTACACAGGTTTAGTTGATTAATGAGGCATTACAAATAATATTACTGTATGATGATTCCTTCCACCCACACAACTGCAAGACACAGGTGCCTTGGGGAAATTTGGAGAACGTTCAATCTCGCCCTCACTCTTCATCAGTGAAGATTAGCACTGAGATCCACAGAGGCTGGATGACTTGCTCAAGTTCACCAGCATGTTAGTGGCAAAGAGAGGTCCAGAGTCCAGGCCCTTGATGCCCAGCTCAGTGCCACAAAGCTCAGTAGGAGGGTTGTTCCAGTGGATGAGGGCCACCAGGAGGCACAGGTCCAAGGCTGGTCCCCCACCTATCAGCAACAACAACTGTCAGTTCATCCTGCATGGGAAAAATATTGGAATGGGAGTCTGAAATGGGGCTACTGTTTTGGTCCCAACCTGCTGTGTGACATTGGGGCAACACTTCCCCTCTCTGGACCTCAGTTTCCTTCTGTATACAAGGATCAGATTCTTGCTGTGATCCAAGAACTCCTGAAATCATATAGAAAGGCTGGGGTGTGCCCTGTCAATCATGGTTGATTTCAATACACTCAAGTGCCATTCATCCTTTAAGAAAAACATCTGGATATCAAGGTGGAAATGGCCCATTTAATGATTGATTATATTATCGTCTTGTGGATATAGTTATAATCTTATGGGCCTGGCTGGGAGTGGAAGAAGGGAAGCCTGTTGCGAATAGTAGAGTATCAATTGCAGGTGCCAATGACTAACTTTTTGAATTTTATGTTGGCATTAACAATAAAGCATTTTGCAAACACTCGTTATAACTGTCTTTATAGAGGCAGCTCTGGGAATAGTGACATTGATTGCTTACCATGCTCCAGGCCAGGTACCTGGCCCTTCACCTGGATGGTCGCATTTAGCCCTCATAAGACTCCTATGAAGAAAGGCACCACTGTTATCCCCATTTCACAGATGGGAAAGGCAAGGCTTGAAGTGGTTAGGTGGCTTACCCAGTCACATATCTCCTAAGTGGTGCAGCCAGAATTTGGCGGGGAGAGTGTGGCCCAGAGCCCTATATTCAGTCCTGTACTCTGTGCTGTGGAAGAGGGATGACCAGGAGCAGAAGCTTCATTCAGGGGCATCTCAGGCACCGGCTACCCCGTAGCCAGGTAAGTTCCCTGCCTACCTTCACCAAGCACGAGGTGTTTCCTCATCTGTCAAATGAAGAGGATCAGACACTCAATAACGGAATAAATGGGTGGGTGAGTCCTTCGCTGCATCCAGGTCTGACTCTCTGTGTGCCTGCCCACCCCACCCTGCATGTTCTAAACATGCTTCCATGAGGCTGTGCCCCACCCTCTGATTCTAGAGTCTGGACGGTATCAGAGATCAGTGCCCACTAGAGGTAACAAGGTCAGGACCCCAAGCCTTGTCCATCCCCCAAAGTATTGAGCCCCCACCATGCACCAGCCCATGCCAGACGGTTTGCACTTGTGATATCACCCATCCCTTAACAACCCAGCAAGGTCTGTTATTGTTCCCGTTTTACAGACAAGGACATAAGTGCTTTCCCAGGGTCCCACAGCTGGTGACAGTGAGGGCCCAGGGTCTGAGAGCCCAGATGGCCCATGTGCGGGTTGGTGGCAGGGCAGATGGCTGCAACCAGATTCAGACATTTCTCTGCAATGGTGCTGTGGGCTCAGGGTGGCTCTTTAGGACGGGGCCCCTTCATAGGGTCATCCACTCCTATGTGCTTTCCCTTGCATCATGCCTTGCCTGAGGCAAATAATTCTCTTGAAGTTTACCCATCCTGTCCAAGGTCACAGGGAAGTCCTGTCTGTGTCTCACACAGAAGGCCAAGGTCCAGCACTGTCCAAACTTTACTCAGCAAACAGTCACAAAGCAGCTTCTGTGTGAGGGGTCGGGGGTGGGCTCAGTGTGGTCTCTGCTGCGTGTCACACATTGAAGCACTGTGCTGGGGGTCACCGCAGGCTGTTTAACTCAATTGTCACATGAGCCTGGGTGCACAAAATGGTAGAGCAGCTCAGATAGAGATGGACAGAGAGAGAGCATGAACCTCTGAGGAGTCAGGTTTTCGCGGACAAGGGGACACTGAGCTGGCTTTGGAGCATGAGAAGAACTTCACCTAGCAGATGTGGGAAAGGAGTGAGACCTCCAGGCAAAGGGACCGGCTGGCGATGAGCGTGATGTGGTGAGCCGTGGAGTGTAGGGGACCCCACGGAACTTCGGTCTGGGCCTGCACGGGGCATGTGGAGGAGATAAGGAGGAGGGAGGTGGCTGTGCCGGTGGTTCAGTGACAGAAATCCTGGACGGGAGGCCAATATTTTGTCTGATCTCTTTCATACCAACTTCAGGGCAGTTTGGTCATCCATGCCACACTCCAAGTGTCCACTGGGCCCTTTCTGTCCCTCACCCTCCTTTATACACACGAGTAGATGTCTCCACGCAGCCCTCCCAGGATGCTCACCTCTATCCACAGCTGCTTCTCCAGCACCCACCAGGCCCTCCCATGGAATGAGCTCACCTACAGGGTAAAATCAGGTCACAGTCTGCAGGACTCCTGCATGTATAGGCCTGACTATTCCCCTCAGGACCCTCATTCACAGCCGCTGTATTAATTTTATAGGGCTGCCAAAACGAAGTGTTCTCGTCTGGGCAGCTGCAATGGATTTGCTGAAATTGATTTGCTAGCATTGCTGAAATTGATTCAAGCTTGATTCTAGAGCTTGAATCTAAGATCAAGGCATGTGCAGGGCTGGTTTCCCTGAGGCCTCTCCCCTTGGTTTGCAGGTGGCTGTCCTCTCCCTATGTCCTCACATGGTCCTCCTCTCATGTGCCTGGTTCTAACTTTCTCTTCTCTCCTCATCTGCACCTGTCCTATAGGATTAGGGCTCCCAATGACCTCATTCTAACTTAATAACCTCTTTAAAGACTCTATCCCCAAGTACAGTCACATTTTGAAATATTGAGGGTTAGGACTTCAGTGTATGAATTTTGGGAGGATGCAACTCAGCCAGGTTCACTATCATTACAGTTGCACTAGTGCCATGTCTGGTTCCTAGTGGACACCCCGGGAACAGCCATCCATCCAGACTGATGTCCCGTGACATCCCCTACACTCCACGGCTCATCACATCACACTCGTCTCCAGCCGATCTCTCTGCCGGGAAGTCCCACACCTGTTCCCACATCCACTGTCTGGGAAGGTCCTTTTCATGCTTCAAAGCCAGCTCGGTGGCCTCCTTTGTGCAAAAAATGCCTGACCTCTCAGAAGTTCATTCTTTCTCTCTTTCTGTCGATCTTTCTCTGAACTGCTCTATCATTTTGTGTATTGTTGAAATGAAGGAACGTGTGACAATTGAGTTGAACAGCTGGCAAAAACGAAAAAGAAGAAAAATAATACTGAGTTAAACAGGCTGCAATGACCGCCAGCACTTCAATGCATGGAATACATGAATGACTTGCAGCAGAGGCCACACTCAGCCCCTGTTTGCCCTTTGAGTTTTTGCACCTTTTGCCAAGATCATTTTTTTTTTTTTTTTTTTTTTTTGGAGACAGAGTCTTGCTCTGTCGCCCAGGCTGGAGTGCCGTGGCATGATCTTGGCTCACTGCAAGCTCCGCCTCCCGGGTTCACACCATTCTCCTGCCTCAGCCTCCCGAGTAGCTGGGACTACAGGTGCCCGCTACCACGCCCAGCTAATTTTTTTTTTTTTTTTCCAGTAGAGATGGGGTTTCATCGTGTTAGCCAGGGTGGTCTAGATCTCCTGGCCTCGTGATCCGCCCGTCTCGGCCTCCCAAAGTGCTGGGATTACAGGCGTGAGCCACCGCGCCCAGCCGCCGAGATCATTCTTGTTTTTAGAAAACCCACCATTATTTTCCTCTCTAGCCACAGGGATTCTAAAACCTCCCCTTCTGGGCTGTAATCAGAATGCAGAGAAGTAATACAAGGTTAGGGCCCGGGACTCCTTCTCCCACCTCTCCCAGCAGAGACCCAGATTTTTTAAAAAAATGACCTTGGTCTTCAGGGGAAGAACTTCCCACCACAATGAGCAGCCATGCCCAGCCTACCCTTGACTGCGGGGCTTACTCAGCTCCTCCATCCAAAGGCTATTCCTGGGATGCCTAGTAGGAATCCAGGCATGGAGCTAGTGCAAGCGTAATGATAAGAGTAAGCCCAGCAGACACAGGCCCCGGTAATAACCAGGTAAACAAATAAACAGAACTATAAACTGTGATGACAACAATTCATCTGTCCACAGATATTCACTGAATGTCCACTGTGTGCCTGGCACTGTTCCAAGTGCTGAAGAAAAATGAAGAAAACAAAAATCCCTGCCTTTGTAGAGGAGACATTGTAATGTGGCAAGATGACATAATGAAAGAGAATGAAGGATAAAACAGAGAAGTAAAATGGATTGCATGTCACTTGATGACAAGTACTGTGGAATGAGACTGTCATCTATATGAAGCACAGAAAGTGGAACATGGCAACATCTCAGTCAAAAGACCTGGCAGACACCACCTTGGCCAAGGGATCAAGGTTGGCATCGCCGGCTGTAAGCAGTGCTGACATCTCGTTCTCTTCGATATGGCGTCATGAGCAGGCTGCCTCGCTGGTGGGATCTTCCTCCAAACCCAGAACTTCAGTCCAATCACGAGAAAATGACAGCCAATCCCAAGTTCAGGGACATTTGGCAAAATACCCCACCACTCCTACTTAAAAGTGTCGAGGTCATGAAAGGAAGGAAACCCTGGGAAATCGTCATTGGCCGGAGGAAACTAAGCAGACACGATGACTAAATGCAATGTAGAATCCTGGGACAGAAAAGGACATTAGTGAGAGAGCTGGTGAAACCCAAGTAAGTCCAGGCTGTACCAATGTCCACTTCCCCGTTCTGAGGAACATGCTGTGGTCACGTGAGATGTACGTATTTGCATTAGTGGGAGCAGGGAGACCGTATATGGGACCTCTCTGTATTGTTTGTATAACTTTTCTGTAAATCCAAAACTGCTTTAAAATAGCTTTTTAAATGATACTTTAAGTTCTGGGGTGTATGTGCAGAATGTGCAGATTTGTTACATAGGTATACACGTACCATGGTGGTTTGCTGCACCCCCTTTTTTTAAGAAAATGTTTCAAAAAGAAAACCATTTTTTCTTTTACCTGTAGGTGATTTTTCCCTGTTGGTGAGCTCATTCCGTGGGAGGGCCTGGTGGGTGTTGGAGAAGCAGCTGTGGATAGAGGTGAGCATCCTGGGAGGGTTGCGTGGAGGCATCTACTTATGCGCAGACAGAAGGATGAGGGACAGAACCGTGGGAGTCAGCTCCTCTGCAGTGAGCAAGGCGACCTCACAGAATGTTCTGTCTCAGGCCTCAGTTTGATGCGATCATGGATAAGTCAATCCTTTGTTATGCTCCCGGCCCTCACATTATGCAGCAGGGCACATAAGTGGGGTTGGGAATTGCAAAGGCAGAAGCAGGAGACCAGTTAAAGAAGAGAACAGGGCATAAGAGAGACAATCGGGAGGACCTTCCACAGCCAGGGCCCTGAGGGTCTCCTTGAGGTGGTGCCATTGAAGCCAAGTTCTGAGGGACAATCAGGTGTAGACCCCGTGAGTCTCAGAAGTGGGAAAAGGGGAGTGCTGTACACGGAATTGAGAGATGGTGCCTGTGGCAGCAGCTGGGGAGAGGAGAAGGTGGGGTGGGAGGCCCATCCTTTTCTTGGCCACAAGGACACTGAGTAGGGTGCCCAGACTCAGTAATATAACAGGCAGCACTTGGAGGCTATGTCCTGTGTGTCTGGCACTCGCCTTTGCCCTTTGTGCCCCTCGGCTGAGTTAATGCAGAGGTGAACTGAGAGGCACCTGGGGAAAGGGCTGGGGGACAGGAAGCAGGTGACATCTCCGGTCCTCTCCAGCTTCCCTAGACACTTCCTGGCAGACATTGGCCCCAGTAATAACCAGGTAAACAAATAAACAGAACTACAAACTATGGTGACAACAATTCATCTGTCCACAGATGTTCACTGAATGTCCACTGTGTGCCTGGCACTGTTCCAAGTGCTGAAGAAAAATGAAGAAAACAAAAATCCCTGGCCTTGTAGAGGAGACATTGTAATGTGGCAAGATGACATAATGAAAAAGAATGAAGAAAAAAACAGAGAAGTAAAATGGATTGCAGGTCCACAGTACTGATCCTTCTCTGCCACCCTTCTCCAAGACCACCGTGGTGGCAGTAAGGGGCTCTAAGGGGACAAGAGACACAGGAGCCAGACACAAGACACAAGACACTTTTGACTCCCAGGAGAACCTAGTGTGGGCATCCATATGCCCTTCCTGATGGTGACTTTTTACGCAGACATGCAGAGTACAGTTAACCAGCTGCTCCTGCACACGTCTGGATCTCTACTCACACATCTGTGCACATGCGTGAGTGCGTGCGTGCACACACACACACACACAGCCTCCTGGAGCACTGTGGATTCTGAGTGGCTAACTCAGCTACAGCCTCTGGTTGTACTGAGCTGAGCACCCATTGCCTGCTGGGGTGGGGAGAGGGCAGGCACTTTCCCTGCATGACCCCGTTTAACCCTCTCAGTGCCCCACTGAGGTGGTCCCTGTTGTCCCCAATGGACAGAGGAAGAACCTGAGTCAGGAACCCAGAGCGGTGTCTCCACTAAGTAGAAGCCTCTGTTTCTCTCCCAGCCTCTCCCAGAGGAGCTGTTCTGAAGCGTGTGCATTTGATCAGGATAATCAAGGTAAATGATCCTTATCTTGTTACATCACAAATGTTAGGGTTCAAGGCTCTGAGGGTGGAGCGTGGGTGGAATCTCTGCTGCCCAGTATCTAAGCTGGGTGATCGCAAGCGGACACAACGTGACCAGCTCTCGGGCCACGCAGGGGGAATGAGTGTAATGAGGCCAGGGTTACAGGGTTGTTGAAGGCTCAGGGGACACCAGGCAAAAAAAAAAAAAAAAAAAAAGCTATGACCTGCGACCTCCCTATAGCAGTGTTTCTCAAACTCTGATTAACGTTACTTGAGGAACTTGTTAAAAATACGTATTCCTGGCCCTGATCAGATAAATCAGGACAAGTCAGAATATTTGACGCAGAGTCTTTAAGCTCCCCCTTGGGATTCAAATGCACACAGATTTTTGGTGCTTTGCCACCTACAATACAAGAAAGGGCAGGACTGTCCTGTTCAGTGCACTATGACCTGGGCGCTCAGGCCCCAATAACTCCCCTACTCCCCTAGCTCCCTGCGGTGCCACCCAACTAGCTTTCTTGCCTGAGGGTGGTCCTCAGACTCCTCATAGAACAGGCCCAGAGGTTCTTAGTTATGTAAGTATCCATTCCTCCAATCACTGCAGAGCACTCACCAGGTAACAAGCACACACGCCCAGGCGAGCTCCCCATGCTCATCCCCACGTTGACGTCTCAGACTCTACAAGTCTTCAGCTGCTGCCTAGGACTCTGTAAGTCCTTGAGCTTGGGACCCCTACCACACACAAGAGCTGGCATGCCCTACAGGCGGGGAAGTGCTGACCATATACACCCAGGAAGTCGGAATTCCAGATAATGAGTAACTTTTTAGTGGAATTCCAGATAATGAGTAACTTTTTAGCACAAGTACCCATGCCCTATGAATTGTGAGGTGTTTTTGTTTGTGAAATCTGACAATTCTACCTGTAGGGAACAGGGATGATTGAGAAGCAGCTGCTCTGATGGTCAGAAGCCAACAGCCTTCCCTGCAGAGATGCGGGAAATCCCGGGGAGAGCGGGAAAGGTCAGGCACTGCACTGGCAGTGGGAGTGGAGCTTGGGTCAGAGGAGGGTCAGTGCTATGAGGAAAGACCCTGGGAGGCTTCCTGCTACATAATGTGAGGGCTGAGAGCATAACAAAGGATTGACTTATCCATGATTGCATCAAACTGAAGCCTGAGACAGAACATTCTGTGAGGTCGCCTTCTTCACTGCAGAGGAGCTGACTCACATGGTTTTGTCCAGGAAGTTGCAAACCTGTGCCAGGAGTAGCCAACCTGGGAGTAGCAAAGAGGCTTTTCTAATGCAGGTTTTCCCAGAGCTCCTCTCCCTCCCTCCCCTGGCCAAAGATGAGCTCTGCAGGGAGAGCCGGCTCTAGGGGACTTTGCTCCTAGGCATCCCAGCTGCAGAGATTGGTGGCGCCAGTCCAGAAAGGGGGTCTTCTGGACCAGGGGATGATAGGGTTGGGCCTCAGGGCACTGGGAGGCCAGTAGGGGTGCTTCAAACTGGCCAGTGACCTGAAGGACTCATATTCTTAAGGATATCCTGGTGGCCACGTAGAAAACAGTCTGGTGGGATGAGGGTGGAAGTGAGGACCAGCTCAGAGGTCACTGAGGGTGCAGCCAGATAGGCTGGGACCCACATGGGCAGCAGAGGTGGGGAGTAGGGATGTGGAGGGGGAGACCCAGCCCCACGCTGGGGGCCCCAAGGGAAGGTGGAGGCTGAGCCAGGAGAAGAGGCACCACCCACTGACGTCCTGCTTGCTGAATAACTGTGAGGAGCAGGATGAGGAGCAAAAGAGCAAGCGAGGAAGTCAAGGGGGTTATTTGGGTGCTATGCTCCATGTGAGGGTAGCTAAGTACAGGTGCCAAGGAGGCACCTGTGTCAAAATCCCAGCTCAAAATGTTAGTTACCAGAGGCCTCTGATAAAGACAGAGCCACAGGTAAAACGCAGCATGCACAACCCCTCAACCCTAAAATCAGAAGGCTATCTGTGTCCTGGCGAGGAGAGAAGCACAATTGATCATCCACACCACCAGGATGCAAGCCCATTATTTCTGATGCAAAACCCAGGCTCCTTCCAGGGCTGGCACAGAGAACAGCCAGAGGTGTCACGAGGCCTCCACCTTCCCCAGCTGGGCAACCTCAGAGGGTATCTCTTTATCTCTGAGATCACTGTGTCTTCATGTCCAGGCTGGGCACAGGTCACCTGGGAGTGGAGCTGTGTTTGCAGAGAAGGAACTAGGGTGGACGTCGAAGCCAACCTGCCTGGTTCAGAATCCTGGCTCAGCTTGGCACTTACCAACAGTGGCAGTGAGGCCTTGGGAATGAGCTTCACCTCTCTGCACTTCTGTTTCCTCATATCTAGAGTTGAGGGAGTGATAGGACCCGCCTCAGTGGGTGTTCATGTGGATTCCATGGGCTCTTAAGCATAAAGAACAGAGCAGCTATGATGACCATCATCTATGTCACTGGGCCTCCGGGGATGAGGAAAGAAGAGGCAGATCTACTTAAGTACAAGGAAGGTGGAGGAAGGTAGTAAGGCATCAGTCATGTGGCACCGATTGTATTATGAGATTGACTGGTTTTCTTACGTCACCCTCAAATTTCCCTCCTTACCCGCTTCCCATGATTCCTGAGAGTCAAGAGGATGGGAGCTGTGGAATGTGTTAGTCATCTACTGCTGCAGAGCCAGTCGCCCATGATTATCTCATGGAGTTCCTGAGGGTCAGGAATCCAGGAGGGGCTAAACTGGGTGGTTCCAGCTCGAGGTCTCTCTTGAGCTTGCTGTCAAGCTGTTGGCCAGGGCAATCCCAGAAGGCTCACTCATGAGGCTGTTGGTAGAAGGTCTCAGTTCCTCACCATGTGGGCTACTCACAGGGCTGCTCAAATGTGACTTAGAGAGAGAGAGAGAGAGAGAGAGAGAGAGAGAGAGGTTTAATTGTTTGGTGTCCAGGACCGAGAGAGAGGGTATAGAGAGAAAGCACAAAAGAGAGAGAAAAAAAGAGAAAGGCAGAGAGAGAGAGAGAGAGACAGAGAGACAGAGACAGAAACACAGATGGTTGTTTAATGTCCAGGACCAAGAGAGAGACAAAAGAGAGAAAGCATAAAAGAGAGGGGAAAAGAGAAAGACAGACAGAGTGAGAGACAGAGAGAGAACCCACAGCAGAAGCAGCAGTCTTTTTATAACCCAGTCTCAGAAATGATACCCCACCCCTTCTGCCTTAGAAGGAAGTCACTAAGTCCAGTCCAATGCAAGGGGAGGTAATTAAGCTCTATCTCTTCAAGGAAGTGGTATCAGACATTTGTGGACACATTTGTAAAATGACCAGAGCATTAGAACCTCAGAATCCAGCAGAGTAATTGCCCTAATAGTAGATGATTAATGTTTTTAAAAATGGATGGACTAGCTGAAGGAATAAATGAACGACAGAGTGAGCAGGATATTTCTGTCTCATTTCACACACAGGAAAGGCACCGAGGCTCAGAGCAATTAGGACATGTGTGAGGTTGTCTAGGTAGTAAGGGATGGGGGCTGGGCTGGTTTGCCAGAAATCTGAGATGCAGCATGCAGCGTGCAGCAGTTCTGAAATGGAAGCCAGGGATGGCAAGCTATAGCAGCCACTCTTTCCCGGAGGGAGAACAGACTCAACACCACTCAATACCGGGGAGGAAGGGATGACTCAGCAGCACTCAAAACAGAGTCAGGAGTTCTCCCTGCTCTTGCCAAACCCTCTGCAGGTGCCTCTTATCCACACAGGGACACCACCAAAGGTCTGGTTGTGCTGAAGGAAATTTGCAACTCCTGCTTCAAATCTGCAGCCAGTATCTCCCCCAGCAGCCACCAAACCAGGCCAGCACAAACCCAGCCAGAGAGCAACATGGGTGTCAGGCAAAAACAGGCTGTTGACTCCATCTTTTTCTAACAGAGATCAGAGTCCTCTGGCCTTCCACAGAGAAGGTGGGGCCTTTTCAGGGTTCTCTGGATCTGCTGGTGTCAGTCAGTATCTATTTCTTCTTCCTAAGAATTTTTTTTTTTTTGAGATGGAGTTTTTGCTCTGTTGCCCAGGCTGGAGTGCAATCATGCAATCTCGGCTTACTCCAACCTCTGCCTCCTGGGTTCAAGCAATTCTCCTGCCTCAGCCTCCCGAGTAGCTGGGATTATAGGCACCCACCACCACACTGGGCTAATTTTTGTATTTTTAGTAGAGACAAGCTTTCACCATGTTGGCCAGGCTGGTCTCAAACTCTTGACCTCAGGTGATCCACCTACCTCAGCCTCCCAAAGTGCTAGAATTATAGGCGTAAGCCACTGAGCCCAGCCTCCTAAGAATTCTTAAAGGAGCTACGGTTGACAAAAGAGGTTCAGAGAGGTAAAGTAATGGCCCTAAAGTCATCCAGCAAGTAAATGTGGCAAAGCCATGGTGCAAAAGAAGCCCTGGTGGGTGACACTCTTTGGATGGCCCCTGCCTCTCTGGAAGGCACCAGCATTGGTTTCTCTCTGCCTCACCTTCCCATGCAGGTGGGCATGCTTGTGCTTGGGCTCCTGCTGGTCCCTCTGGTTATGCCGCAGAAGCACACTCTTCCTATCTGCAGTCCCAGCCCATGTGTGGACACAACCCATTTCCTAGGGTGCTCCTTAGCCCACCGCACCAAGTCAGCATTTAGGAATCAACTGTGGCACCACAAAGGCAACAGTTGTGAAAACCACAAACAGCATCACAATGATCACGCTTGCAGAATGCCAGTGTCTGATGGACTCTGTAGACTCTGTATGTACCAAGGTGACTCCAATCTAGAGACAACGAGAGTCACTGTTCCTTGGACTGAGCATCTGCTTGTCCCAGGTCCCAGGCGCCTTTGATGTGAATCTTCAGTCTCTTCACTTTTGAGACAGGCACTACAGCCACACTCACATAGGTCCCAAAGGCCAGTGCCATCCACTGCCTCTGCCTCTCCACTCCTGCATTCCACCAGATTCCTTGACCTTTAGAAAT